GTCTTCTATCAATGTGTTGGTGCATGAATCTAATAAGGGCAGAAGAAAAAAAGTGTGTCAAATCAAAATAACAATGCCATGTGAATATAAAATGACTAGAAACACAAACATTTAGAACTATTTGATATAATGTGGCGTGGGATATGGACTTACCAGGGTTGATTCCATCGGTATTAGGAGAATCGATAGGAGCAAGAATGGTAACGCCTTTGACGATGACGTTGTTGCAATATACGGGATGAATGTTCCATGCAGGCGAATCGATGATCGTGATGTTCGAGATCTGAACATTTTGAGAGAACATGATTTCGATTGTGTAAGGTCTCGTGATATTCTTAAATCCACCACTTCGATACTTCACCCACCAGTATTTTCCTTGTCCGTTGATCGTTCCATTGTTACCTATCCAAATAAATTCCATCAATTATAATCTTTTTAACTAAAATATATTCTTCAAGATCTTATAGCATTGATTCTTGGTCGTTAAAGCACCAAATTGTTACTAATTCATTAAATAGTTTGATATATCATTGTATTATTATTTTGGTTAACCTTACCGGTGATAACAACATCAGTTAGGTTTGTGCCAGAGATTAGACTAGCAAATGTTGGTCCTGCTGCATCTCTTCCTTGTCCATATGATGGCAAAGGTGCAACCACTGGATATTCAGATTCATCCTATTGTTTTAAAACAACAAAATAAAAAATCATGTAAATAAATGGCTAGTTCCTTTTTTTGTCAAAGAAATGGCTAGTTCCTAACACAAAATATTTATCTAATTTCAGTTTTGTATAATGCAAAGATGGAAATCATTCTTACCTGAGAAGCAAGAATAGTTGCACCTTTTTGGATGAACAAAGTGAAATGGCTGGTGAGGTTGAAACTTCCGGTTAGCCATTTTCCTGGTGGAACAATGAGTTGCACTCCACCGTCCGCCGCCTTGGGGGCAAGCTTGGTTATGGCTTCTTTAAACGCTTTCGTGTTCGAGGTCTTTCCATCACCCACTGCTCCAAATTCTGTCAAAACCGCGGTATGTTTTCGACAATTCAACGCCATATATTCAATATTTGTCTTTCCTTTGCTGCCTAGATCCCGAGCTTCCATCATCGACAAACTACTAATTGCCAAAACTACTAATATACAAAAACTTGTCCGAATCATCTGTTGAAAAGAAAAATAAATCATATCTTAGATTTTTCTCAAACTAAATTCACTTAAAAAAAAATAGTTTTGAAGGATGTCATTGTTCAAAATAACGTTACCTTTAGAGTTGAAGGATTAATAGAGAACTCCATTTTGATTCTTCTGACTTGTTTTTTGTATTTATGTTTGGTTTTTATTTGCCTTAAAACAGAGTAATTTATAGAAGAACAAAATAGAGAAAAATATGCTTAAACTTTATCTAATTCTAAGCCTTGAATTGATTTACCAAAATAAGAAGAGCTAAAAAAGGTGGAATCATGTACCGATTTTTTTTTTTAATTTCTGTTAAGACAAACATTTCCCGTTTTAGTAGAAAATAGTCCAACTTCTGAAGTTGTACATCTTAAATTAGGTACTTTGACAGAAGAAAATCTGTATGTCAATTGGACTGAAATATCCGGACCTTCCTATAAGAGCATCTCCAACCCACCTCTATATTTGCCTCTAAACTCTATTTTAGAAGCAAATTTACTCCAACCCACCTCTATTCTCACCTCTAAAATAGAGATCTCTATTTTTTTCTCTATATATAGAGGTGAGAATAGAGAATCTCTATTTTTTTCCTCTATAAATAGAGTTAAACTTTTTAGAGGAATAAATAGAGGAATACATTGGAGTAAAAATAGAGAAAACTCACCTCTATTATAGAGATAGAGGTAAAAATAGAGAAATACATTGGAGATGGTCTAAGGGCGCTATTTAAAAGATTAAGATCTTTACCCATGAACAAAGCGAATCTCCTAGTTTTCAATTTGGCAAGTACAATGTGGTAGGAGTAAATTTATTATTTTGGATTGAGATTTTATCCGTTTTATAAGTTATTATCTTAACATAAGCATTACAAGATCTTAGATTAATCCATCTACAGTTTATATGATAACTAAAATAGCTTAATCCAAAAATGTTAAAAAAAAAAAAATTGAGACTAATTAAATCATAATTGAGACTAATTAAATCAAACATTTTTTTAAATTATTTTGTAACTTATTCAAAACAATATCATATATAGAAAAAAAAGATATTAATTTGGCCGATTTGACCAATTAATATCGATTTTGGACGTCTAAACCGATAAACCGATTTATTTCACAGATTTTACTAAAATTATGGCGTTCAGAGACGCATTAACAGTTAGGCAAGTGCCTAGTCGCAGACCTGAGTTTTGGAACCTTGGTCATAGACTCATAGTTCTTTTGCCAAAAAAAGGCAAGTAACCATTTTATTATTTATAGGATAAAAATGCGGCCGTTCTGTTTATGGAACAAGGAGAAGGGAGAAAGTAGAAGCTACTTAATGTTTTTTTTTTCATCTTTAAATTTCGGAAAAGTGGGTAAAAAAACCCTCAGATTTCTTAAAAACATGTAGAAAACCCTCAACTTTTTTTGTGGGTTTTTAAACCCTCACTTTTTTATAAATGGTCAAATAAACCCTAATATTAATAAAATCAACTTAATGTTTTTTAAAAATCGTTATATTAAAACAGTAAGAAACAAAAAGAATTTAATTTATGATTTTTTTTTCAAATTCGAGTTTACGATTTTTCTTTTTAAAATTAGGGTTCTTGCGTTATGAAAATTCATTCACTATTTAGTTGAGATTAGGCAAATTATTTTTGTTAAAATTAGAAGTTATGTTATATAAACTACAAAAATTTATAGGATATCACTTTTGATTTTTTTTTTTAATTCGTGTGTTCAGATTTTGGATAAAAATATAGTTAAATAATGATTAATTAAAAATAATTTATATTATATTTAATATATCTTAATATATATATATAAATATTAATTGTTAGTAAATCTTATTTAGTTGTCCAATGAAAATATTTTGATGTGAAAATTCATGTACATTTCGTAGTATTATAAAATTTGGTTTGGTTTCACGTTAGTAAATTTGTGTGATCGAACCTAATAAACCTTTATTAATATAAATTCATATTCGGTTTCGATATAAGAATTTACATATAATTCGTAACAAAATCTGTTTGGTTTTACGTTGATGAATTTTTGTAAAACAACCAAATAAAACTTCACTAATTAACTGTTTTACATCATGACTTAAAAAAATTTCAATTTAGAAAAATATTATAAATTAGAATTTTAGAAGAAAAAACCCTGAATCAAATTGTTTCTATTTATTTATGTTTTAATATAACGATTTGTTTGAATTTAAATTAAGTTTATTAATACTAAGGTTTATTTTACCATTTATGAAAAGGTGAGGGTTTAAAAACCCACAAAAAAGTTGAGGGTTTTTTCTATGTTTTTAAGAAAAGTGAGGGTTTTTCTACCCATTTTTCCCTAAATTTCATTAAACTTTGAAAACAGTTAAGTTACATTCCTTTAAAAAGAAAAAGGGCAATCACCATAAGAGACAAAAGAGGTACAGTAAAACCTTTATAAATTAATAATGTTGGAACCATAAAATTTTATTAATTTAGAGAGATATTAATTTATCGATAAATTAATAATTATTAATTTATAGAGAGATTTTACTAATTTTGTAATTTCTTATAAAAATTTCTATCTAAAAATAAATTTTTCTTTATAAACAAAAACTAATTACAAGTAGAGAAACAATTATTAACTTTAAAAAACAACACAAACTTTTTTCGAATAATAGAGTCATATTTCATCAAAATTTTTACATACAATATTTTAAATATATATCATAGTAATTCATATATAACATATATAAATTTATATAATGTATATATATATATATTGATAAGTTAATAAAATTATTAATTTATGATATAGATGAGACTATATGTTTACATGAGATTTTCAAAAAAATTATTATCTTATTAATTTATCGATTTATGTCATATTTTACACTGGTCCCAACTCGGGACCAGAAGAATTTATTAGTTTAGAGAGGTTATTAATTTATAGAGTATTAATTTATAGAGGTTTTACTGTATTACAATTAAGTAACACAACTCTCATTAGTGAACACTATTTTTAACCCAAAAAGATAATGTTGCGATACATATGATTGACTAAGATCCTCCAATGTCACACTATGAGCAATAAGAAAGAGCAATAAGAAAGACACCTAAATTTGCCTGCCTTTCTTCATGCTCAAATCTCGAATCCAAAATACCACTGAGAGCCAAAGAGATTTACTAGATAGATATCATATTTATGGAATACGATTCACTTTGAAGATGTTATACCTACTTAATGTTTATTGGACAAGATATTTGTCTACACCCTTTTCACATTTTTTTTGCTATAGATATTTTAAAATAATTTAATTTTAAAGTCATCTTTCTACTATTTTATAGTTTGAATTTTAAAAAATGGATATAAATTTCAAAAAAAGTTAGAAAATGATTATAAGTAAAATGTTTTTAGTTTATTTTTTTTTTTCGGCAAATGTTTTTAGTTTATATAGAAGTATAGAACACAGAAACAAAAATATAGAACAAATTTCAATATAGTTATTGTGTTTTACAAGAAAATTTGTGTTTTATGTCTGCTGGTTGACAAAAAATAAAATAATACATGTTTTAACAAATTCAAAGCATGACATGACATAACTAAAAAAATCCATGTTTTTGTTTGGGTGAAATTAACAACAAAATAAGTAAATTAACAAAAGAATCTCTAATTAAAACCAAAAAAAAAATAATAAAACAAAATAACCCCTAACTGTAACATCCTTTATTTTCAAGTGCTAGCCACTTAAGTCGTGCAAAAGAATCAGAATCAGCATCAGTAGTAAGAATCAGAGATTGAATTTGAAAGCCGCCTTTTTGTCTGTCCTCTGGCAAATTGGAAAACCGAAAACCTAAAAGCTGCTTGCTTTCTTCTTCCGATCAAACTTAATCTGATTCTTCGTCGAGACTCGTGTCTCACGAAATCAACTGTATCAGTCTTAGAGGAATGAAACATATCTCAGGTTTTGAAAAGGTTTGAAGCAACCTGAAAAGAAAAGTAGACAAGAGTTTTGCTTAAGCTCCTTAATTCCAAAATTCGTAAGTCAAATCAATCAATAAAACTCAAAAAGTGTGGCTCTTTTAAGGTCACAGCTTTGTATACCTTGACATGATGTGGCATAATCTTGATATCGTAAGGAACGTGAAGCCAGGCTTCAGGCCGGTATAACAGAAAGTTCTCAGGTTTACTGGTGTAAACGTCTGCGTATTGGTGGATGTGATAAGAGAATGCTGATTCTTGACCAGTGTCTGTGACAAATGTAGCTCCGAACGATCTGTTGAACATTTGTTTCATTGTGTCTCGTGCTCTCTGTCTCGCATTGTTCAGCTCATCCAATAGAGATTGGCATGCTTCGCTTCTCTGATTGTTTGATACAGTCGCGTGAAATCTACCTAGTAACTCTTGGATAATATGGAACTTGGCCTGAATTTAAGCACAAGAAATGGTCTTATTAGACTTACTAACACATACGCCTCTAACCAGTTATGTCTTATGTCCTCGATCACGGTATTGGAATGTAGAAATCCTATAAGTAGAAAGCCATTCTTGAGAAGTAAAAGAGGAAGCTGTGACTATACCTGCTCAAACCGGTAGCTATCATCATTTTGTATCTGTATCTCTCGCTGAAACAAGAAAAACATCATAAGGAGAATTCAGTGTACAAGGTTGGGCATTTAATGATGTGCAAACACTTTTGAGGATACAATCAACTAAAAGGCTATACATCAAGTATGGTAAACTAACCTCGAGCTCATGAATTATGGCAGCAGTTCGCCAACCAGCTTTTGAAGGCCCTCTTAGATCACTAAATAAGTGATCTCCGAAATAAATCACCTATGAACAGAACATGTTGTAGTCTGTCTTTAAATGCATTCAGAAGCATGAAGTTCCAAAATGGAATACATATCAGCTTTTAGTAAAGAGTACCTCAGGGCCATGCCACTTTGTGATTTCAAGGAAGGATTTGAGACAGCCATGGTAGTAAACTTTCTTTGGGTCAAATGCATCCACTTTTGTAAATGCCAAATTATCCCTCTCTGAATCGTAACAACTACAAGAATTAATAGCAATAAAAGAGTCAAGCAATCAATTCCACAAGACAGAAATTTTTTACTAAGAACATAATGTTTCTGAATATATAGTAAGGAAAACTAACCGGAAAGGGTGCTCAGATGTGTAAAATTCTGGTTTATTTGCTTTGGCAATCACAACATCAAAGAGCTCTCGCCAGGAATCTCTGAGGCCAAAAGAGTCCTAACAAACAATAAGCACCAACAAGTAGAGGTCATGAACCACTTAAACAAAAAAAGAAAATTCGGAACTGGCCCTAAGAACAACTAACTCAAATCGAAGAGTGTTGAATATGAATGTCCCTAGTGATATTCCAACGAGAAAACAAAAGAGTTTTAAATGGCTATTCAATAATGTGAATCACCTCCATTAGAAAGCGCATTCCACCATCGACAAAATGATACGGAGAGTTGGTCAGCAAAAAAAGCTTCTTTCCTTTATCTTTTAGCATTCTCAGGAAACGTAGAAGCTGATTCTGAGAAGTAAATCGCTGTTCAGTAATATAACAATCAAAAGTAATATAACAAGTGAAGATAATTTTAAGGACTTTCACTTGCATTTTTCAGCAAATATCTGTAGGGATCAGCAAGAATTCCTCTATGAACCAATCCACTTCTATGGACATGTTGAATAGCACGATTGACATCATTGTAGATGTTAGAGGCATCAAACTCAAGTTTGGCGTCGACAAAGTATTGAACCATGTCTGCAATAAGACAGGCCTGAAAAATAGTAACAAAAGAAATATTGCAATCAAACAAAACAGATATGACTATATCACGGTACAAACAAGTTATTGATTAAAGTAGTCACCTCGCTGAAACAGAAGAAATCCATCAATCCCACCAGACCTCTCGCTTGATCACGACCTATGTGTCGCGTTCCATACATACTTTCTATTTCCTTCCTACTAAGCTGCACAATAATCAACTATGTTGAGGTCTCCTAAAGAATCAGTCTCAAAACGAAACAAGAAGAGACCAAATACCTTACGACGGCCAAAATAGCACCCGTCTGGCTCGATTGAACCAAAGAAATCCAATTTCATGAGGCACCCTTTTAGTTTATCGTAGTACAACCCGCGGATTGGAAAAGTAGGATCATACTTAAACTGAATGCAAACATCAGGATATCGAAACTGCGAAAACCAACAACCAGTAAATCCTCTAAACAATACTCACAACCCAAAAACAAGTTTAGCTAAAACACATTGCCATAAGAAACTTACCTCATTAACCATATGTTGCTTAGCAAGATCATAAATCAAACTCTGTAAATGAGATGAGTAATGTGCCAAAGTGTAATCATAATCAAATCCATAAACTTGTATATTATCCAATCTCAGATTCTTATTCACATATATCCCTACAAAAGTATCATCAATCAGTAACAAAGAAGAACAATCACAAAACCAAATCAATGGCAAATAATAGCTTACCTTGAGGATTCATCTTAGGCATACTATTAATAGCTTCAGGTATATTAAGAAACCTCTGTTTCGCCAACTCGAATTCGTGACGGATCTTCGTGATCTCGTCTTCCACTGTAGAACATTCCCGAATCGCAACGGCACATTTCGCTTCCAGATTAGCTAACGCCGGTTCCGACGAAGTAACGGTGGCGAATCCTCGGAAACTTCTTAGAAAACCATTTCGGATTTGATCGGAAGAAAATCTTCCTCTCTGCGATTACAATGAACTCGATCATCATTTTCATCATCATCATCGATCGCGATTATAAATAGAAATGAGCGAGAGAGAGAGAGAGAGAGAGTTACAGTGAGCGAAGCTCCGAGAGGAAGAAGAAGACGGCGAGTGGCAGTCATAATGAAAGGTGGAGAAAGTCAGCTTTTTTCTGAGAGTGGACTTGAGAATTTGGAATTTGATGAAGAAGATGATGACGTCATTGTGATACGGTGAATAGATAATGGCGGTTAGGGTTTATCGTCGACGGAGATAAATCCGGGAAACAAAAGATTTCGGATGATTTTTTGTATTGGGCCTTATGGGCTATGTAGTTTGTAATCTTAATTCTGGGCCCAATGAAACAAGTTTTGTTTTAGCTTAACACTTTATAAAACGCTGCGTTTCACTTATTTATGTAGGCCCCTGTTCTCTGTGACTCCGCCTAGACGCTGATCGGAGGGGATCCGCGGCGATTTTGTCCAAATCGCTGGTCCGATTTTTTGTCCGCCTAAACCGCCTAGACGGCGCCTAACCCATTTTTTTTTTTTTTTTATCTAAAATTCTAAACGTCATACTTATGTTCCAAAGTCTTGACTCTGCAATTCTTTTTCGTCTTTACAATTTGGTATTTTATTTATGATTATGTTCTTCAATTTATTTATCTTTCAATTATCAACTGCCTTCTTATAGAAATTAAGGTTCATACATATATGACGTTGTGTACTTTCTCAAACCATGTGAAAGTACTCCCACCCCAAAACGACGATGAGATAGATGATATTCTCAAAGCTATAGATATAACCTAAATGAGAAATGTTTTTCTAAAGACTCATATGGCTAAGATCAAAGGTTAAGAAGATGGCAAAGATACCATCATGGTTAAATTAATACAGGCCTCTTTGTTCGAGGAATATTATTTCTTTGTTACACATTCATTGTAATCTACTAGTTAAGATAGAGTATAATTATTCTGTAAGGAAAACAAATGTACACAACACACATACAATATATACATATACAGTAAAACCTCTATAAATTAATAATGTCCGGATTAAGATATTTTATTAATTTATTAATAATTTTTAATTTATCGAGAGATTCGGTTAATTTCATAATCTCTTATAAAATTCTACTCAATTTTGTTTTTGTTATAATCAATTTTTTAGAAACTATTACAAGTAAAAAACAATTAACATGACTAAAAGACAAAACCAAAATTTTTTGATGCAATATAAATATTAGAAATAAATTCTACCAAAATTAATGAAAATTAAGTTTAAAAAACAACAACACTAGAGACATATTTCACTAAATTTTCTTATATATATACACAATTATTAATTTATAGTATTGATAGAACTATATATATATATAAATTATTATCTATCAAATTATGTCAATTATTATACTTGCTCAACTCGGAACCGGAAAAATTTATTAATTTATAGTAATAAATAATTTATCGAGTACTAATTTATAAAATTTTTACTGTATATTTGAATTTTTTTCACTTTAATTAGTAAGTGCTAATTTATCGAGTATTAACATAAAAAAAAAAGATTTTTACTAGTCAAACAATTTTCTTCTCAACAGTCAAAGTGATATAAATTATTTACTTTAAAGACCAATAGAAAAAAACTTTGTTACCAGTCTGTACATTTAAATTGATTGTACATTCATTGTAGTCAACATAATATAATAGAAATCAGTCATTTATGTTCTTTTTGTTGACCAGCAAAGATTCCCTACTTTTTATAGTAAAAATAATTATAAAATTGGTATAATTATCATAATTTAAAATTTATTATTTACTTCTAAGAACTAAAAGTTGACTAGAAAAAAAATACCAACAAAGAAAGTTTGTTTCTATAAAAATTAGTTTTATATAATTAGAATAGATAATTACTTAGTTTGGTGAATATCATTAATTTGAAAAGTTAATATTATAAAATTATTTGTATCTATTTGTATTTCAGAAAATAATTCTTGTGACAGCTGTATATAACTTTTATATTGTGTTTGTGTTAAAAAAGAAATATGAGTAAACCAAATTTAAACTTTCAGTAATTAATAAGAACAACACTCTAAGAATTTAAATATACAAAAAATAACTTTTGATACATGTAAAAAGATAATTTTCATATTATTTACATTGAAATAAATTTATGATAGATTTGACCGTATGTGTAGTAACAAATTTATCGAAATAATAAATAAGTTAGTTGTTAAGTTGATATAACGACATTAACGATATTTTAAATTTCACGGCCAAATCGTTTCAAACTATATTATTTGAAATGTTCCCGCGAAAAACAGTTATAACAAATTTAGCTGTGAAATAAATATTTGAACTATTAGGGAAATATTACAAGGCTAACTACTCTTTTTAGATGTTCGTGCCAATATCCCGGTGTTACATTATGAAATTAATTTGGCTTTTTTTCATACTGAATTTTTGTGTAATTTCATCTACAAATTGTAAAAATTAGAAAAAATAAATTTAAGAATCAAAATTTAAAACTAAAAATCAAACGAATTTTTTTAAATAAATATGATTTTTTATCCAACAAATTTATTTGTCCTTTTTGGGTAAAAGTTTTTCATCATCATCCTTATTTTCACTATAAATAAGTGAGAACATCTAATTGTATATACCACACAGTTTTTGATAGATCTTTCTCAGAACATCTAATTTTATATATCACACAGTCTTTGTTTATCCAATTCTTATTGATGGAAAAAATATCAAAAATCCGAGAAACTATAGTTGGAGTCTAAATCTCCAATTCATTTCGGTGGATGGAAAGATGAAGTTATCACAAGAAAAAGGTATGGATCTTTGTTTATATTCATGTACAATATTAGATCTATCAATAATTCATCATATATATTACTTGCAGTTTAGTAATGTCTTAAAAATGTGATTTTTTTCATGGATCTGGTGTATCTATATTATATTTCATATGAGAAAACTAGAAGAAATAACATAATAAATAAATGTGTCGAAGGGCATCTTGATGATGACTTTTCATAAGATGCCGATGATTAGATCTTTCTCCAGAGTTTTAATTTTATGATTTTTAAGTTATTTTATTTTTATTGTTTAAATTTATACCTACATAATACCAAATTATTTTTGTTTTTACAGAAGAATAGCCGTGGCAATCGTGTGTGGTAACTCGGAAGATCTTAGATCTAAGTGATGGTAGCAGCGGAGGTGGTAACAATGATAAAAGGTTAACCAACAATTTGCGTTTAGATGTAAGTGAACATGATCTCTATAAAATTGGATATAAAATAAGAAATGAGGGATAATTAAAGGTTTTTTTTTTTTTTTTTTGTTGTTGTTATGATTTTAGATCTAAAATAATTATCATATTTAATTTTTTGAACGAATTGATTTTTATTATATGTAGGGAAATGAATTGGTCGAAGTTCATGAAAGAGGTGATAAAGAAATGAATATGAGTGAAGACAAAGGAAAAACCATCTTCGGCCTTAACAAATCTATGTGGCCAAAAAGATTGAACCGATTTTTAAACATATTTTAGGTTAACATTTGTCATTGACAAGTTCTTCTTTGGTTTAACGGAAAGTGGAGATTGATTGATCATATTTTTTGTTTGTTGGTAGGAAGTGGAGACATACTAAAGAATTGTGAGCACTCTTAGATAAGCAAAATATATTGGAGAGGTGGCATTATTGACAAGGTTAGTGATTATTGAATGACAATAGACGTTAATATATATATTCTTTTTACATGACTACAATAGTTTTAAAACTAGATTGAAACAAACAGTATAAACGTTTTGATCATGGTTCAATCTAGTTTGACTTTAAATCAACATATTAGTGTCAATCAAGTAGAAGAAAATATCAACCAAGCAAATTTTATCTCTTTAAGAAAATCTCAGGAATGCATTGATATGAGAATAATAACCCCAAAATTTAAAAGATACAATATCATGATTCAAAGTCGATCGTAAAACCTTAGTGATAATCGCTCTTTTGGCAACATGTCAAATATTTTGGTGAGAATTAGTAAACAGAATTACAAAATGATTTGAGAGTGATAGTGTAACGTTGAAAAACACATCTCAACGTATAGTCATGGCACGAGAACACCGGAGATCTCAGAATTCTCAAACTAGAGTAGAGAGCCAAGGAGACGCGGTAGGTTATTCAAGTTCCAACCAGAAGCTATGGTTTTATCCATCTCACTTCTTTCAGTTTTCATTTCCACTCCTTCGTAATATCCGCTTCCTAGATTCTGGTTCTCCAAATCAGCTCCATAATATACCTACAAGGGGGCATCGAATAAAAAAACTGCAATACAAACAAATCTGTTTTTTTTTTTCTGGTCGTTATTAATCGGTTAAACACAAAGCAGATTTGTTTGTAGTAGCAGTTTTTTTTTATTCGATTTGCAAGTATATTATGAAGTTGATTTAGATAACCGAATTCTTAGAAGTGGATTTTACAACAGAGGGGACATGTTAACCATAAAAAGAGATATGGATCATTACATAGTTTTTGGTTGAAACTTGAAGAACTTACCATGTCTCACTGGCTCTTTACTCTTATTTGAGGATATTGATATCTCTGGTGTTCTAGTGTCATGGCTCTATGTTGGGATGTGTTTTCTAACGTTTTGTTGGGTAACGTTACACTCTCACTGTCTAAATCATTTGTAATATTATTTGCCAATTTCACCAACATGTTTAATGTTTTGATTGTATTCCCAGCCTTTGTTGTATAGTTGTCATCACGCCGCTGATAACAGATTCTTCTAAGTTGTATCAAAGAAAATCTAATGAATTTTTAAGATGCCACTTAGCTTATCTGCATGAAAATTGAGTTAACAGACAAAAACTTTAATTCCTTATCACCTTTTAAAACAAAAACAACCGTATATTAGTTAACCAACGATCAAAATATTTCCTCTCAAATTGTGATCTACGGTAACTTACAACGACCAATGAGAATGGAAAATACATTAATGAACTTTCTAGACAAATCTCATCCCTATTTATCATAACAGAACAACAATAATGATTTATAGATACTTACCTCTAAAGTTTCTAAGTAATTAACAAAAAAAACAATAACGATTATTTAGATTCTTTTAACGATTATTTTTCTCTGATTCTTATTTGGTAGTTATTTAAAAATTTTAGAGGTTAGTATTCATGAATCAATATTGTTGTTCAATTATGAAAAAGGGATGATCTTTTCTAGAATTTTGCATTCTCATTGGCTGATGTTAAGTAGAGATTGATATTGATCTTTTTTTTTTTTTCTGTTTTTTGTTTGTTGGTAGGCATTGGAGACATACTAAAGAATTGTTAGCATTATTCA